GTTGAGCAACTAGAAGCCTGTATTAGACAAGAATGGGACAACATTCCTATTCCTAAACTTGAGCAACTTGTCTCCTCAGTCCCCAGACGTTTGCAGACTGTTATAAAAAGAAGAGGGGATGCCACACAGTGGTAAACATGGCCTTGTCCCAACTTTTTTGAGATGTGTTGATGCCATGAAATTTTAAATCAACTTATTTTTCCCTTAAAATGATAAATTTTCTCAGTTTAAACATTTGATATGTCATCTATGTTGTATTCTGAATAAAATATTGAAATTTGAAACTTCCACATCATTGCATTCTGTTTTTATTCACAATTTGCACAGTGTCCCAACTTTTTTGGAATCGAGTTTGTATATGTTTATTATAATTACTTGTGGAGGTCAGTTTAAGTTTTTTTTTTTTGTCACTTGAATTATCATCTTAATAAAGTAATATGTTCACGAGTTAGTGTCTTCTAAACTTAAAACCAAAACATTAATATGTAAAAAATCTAATAACATATGACAATTATAATATGCAAATTATTGGAAATAAAAAAAATTATGAAACTATCTTTACAAATTTTAAATGAATGAAATATAATAAAATTATAGATATTATATATTACATGTATTACATAATATAGGAATATATGTATATTAATTAATATGTATGTTAATTAATTATTTTATAATTTATTATTACATATTAACGATTAATTAATATGTTTGATTGCTTCTATTGTCCTCATTTGTAAGTCGCTTTGGATAAAAGCATCTGCTAATTGAAAATGTAATATTAAGTAACTTAATTATATAAGTATATATATAATCTAAAAATAATATTTTTTTAAATAATATATAAAAACTTATTTGTGGAGGTTAGGTCAGCTTGAGTATGATAATGCACAATACTAAGAAAATATGATACTTATGTATTTATTTTTACTCAAATTTGCATTTTAGTAGAAGTTGTAATGAGAAAAACTAAGTGGTCTCTAGTGGACATTTGGACACCAGTGAGATACTATTATAATTTTTATTAATATTTTATTTTTCTGTTTTCATTTTCATTTTTGTAAAAGGTTTAGTAATTTTGTTGTTAGTTTTTGCCATTTTTATGAGTTTATATTTTTATAAATTTTTATTTCTTTATTAGTTTTAGGTATAGTTTTAGTTAACTATATTAAAGGGTTAGTTCACCCAAAAATGAAAATTAGCTTGTGTTTTACTTACCCTCGGCATCCTAGGTGTATGACTTTCTTCTTTCGACCTCATACGTCATCCGCCTGGAACTGCTTCTGTGTACAACAGTGAGCGCAAGCTACATTAAAGTAATTATTACATTTGAATATGGATATTTTTCTTACAAAAACACATCGATTCGCTACAGGAGGCCTTTGTTCACCCCCCGGAGCCGTGTGAGACACTTTTTTTTATGGATGGGCGCTATTTATTTAAGTTATTTTGGACTGATGCATGCAACACCCGCTGACAGGCATTAAACAGCTTGAAAGATCAAAGACAATTTTTTATATTACTCCGGCTGGATTCGTCTGAAAGAAGAAAGTCATATACACCTAGGATGCAACGGAGGTGAGTGTAAAACAGCCTAATTTTAATTTTTGGGTGAACTAACCCTTTAACCCTGGTATATACGATAGGTGTGTGATATGTGAATACTCATTTTAGCCTTAACATGTTTATTACTAAACCACGTTTAAGTGTTAGAAAACATCCCGTGTTGGCTTTCACTTACCATCTGACCTTTGTGAATCAGTGATAGAAAATAGCAAATGATGAACGATGACTGAGCTGTGAGCCTCAAACCATCACACGGGAATCATCTGAGACACAATGCACATTTAAGTCTTTATTGTACTTAAATACGTACACAAAAGTAAAAGTTCTCGAGATAAAATCTGGTAATATTTTACAGTAAATACATGTTTTGAAATGTACCAAAAAAAGTAGTAAATATATAATTCATATATACAGTGAATATATAACATAAACGGTTATACAGACGACAGTTAAGACAGCAGAGTTAAGCAGAAAGTCATTATAAATCCTTAGCCCTGTGCTTCAGCTTTATTACCGCCAAGACGATTCTCTGGATGTCAGGACTGCAAGACACACAGAAAAGTACACTGAGTGATGCTGTTGGGTCGTCCAATCATGATAAGTACAAAAATACGCCACTGCAGGCTTTCAGACACATGCATGCACACAGCAGCCAAGAGAGAACAGATAGAAACCTCGAACCCAGAGAAACGTCCGAACGTCACACTACTGTGTATGAACCCTGAGTTTTAGCTTTCGCCAAACCGGCAACATACTGCCTCAATCATATAGCACAAGGCATTGATAATGTGTGGGAATCATGAATTTGATGTAATTTGTTCTTTGGAAATAGCAAATACACACGGAGACGCTCCCGCAGTCGTAGGCCTACTTTGCAGGTTCACTCAGAGTGTCCCGAAAGTAACGGCTACAGACCAGAAGAACAATCGAGCACTGGATAAACATCTACTAAAATATGAGATTTTGTCATTTATGTGTCGTTTATACGAAGACAATGTCATCATGGGGAAGTTTCCCCTCAGAATAATTCAGTTAGCAACAGGTCCAACTTCCAAAAAGTCTCAGTTTTGTAATCGTTTAAAAGTAGGCTATATGAGTAGCTACAGAAATAGTTCATATTTTTGAATACTGGTGGTTCACAATCAAGAGCCACAGATGCTTTAAAAAAAAGTGTTTTATGTAGTGTTCACAATCTTTGTACTAACATTCAGACTGTTTGGATCATTGTCCACTCAACACATCTTGACAAATAGTCTTTCAGGAGACGAGCTCACACATGAAAGCCATCCTCTCATTAGATGTGCCAAAGGGATAGATCACCCAAAAATGAAGATCTGTCATCATTTACTTGCCCTCACGATGTCCAAAATCATATGACTTCCTCTATTACGTAAAACACAAAAGATTATTAGCAGAATGTTCATGCTGCTGCTTTTCCATTCAAAAGCATGAAGTAAACGGGCTCTTTTATTCTTATGAATAAAATATATCCTATTCTAAATTAAGAATAGTGCTTGTATTCAAACATTTCTTAAGAATGTTTTAATTTTTTTTCTTAAGATTGTTTTAAAGACAAAATAAAAGCCGTATTTGAAATCCTGAAACAACGTTCTTAAAATTCACTGTAAAGTTTGGATAACTTCCAACTTGTCTAAAATCCACAAAGGTAAGACGTTTAATGAATTTATTGGGTTATTTGAACATTAAGCATTACAACATAAGACTAGCTACATATAATATATTATTACTATTATTAGAGATTATTTTTTTTCAACTTGTTCAACAAATACCACCATACAATTAAATATCACCTTTCATTTTCATTTCATTTTATGAAATTTAGACTTTATCTTAGATTTTGATGAATCCAGTCCAGATGAAAACAATCCATTAAAGTGTCATAAAAGTGTCCAATGCGACTTTTTTGCACTATATTTCAAGTTTAGAAGCCTTCAGAAGTCACATGATATATTTGTGTGAGAAAGAGGCCCAAACTGAAGTCATTATTAAATGATAATCTATATGCATTTACGCATATTCAAACTTCTCACATAGATGTCGCCCCAGTTGGACATCAATGACACTAAACGTGTCAAAGCTATGCTGAGTCCAGCTCACCACAAAAGTCTTGGAAAACGTTCCTGGTTGGAAAAGAGCAGCGTGAACATTCTTCAAAATGTCTTACATATAGATTTGCAACACCAAGTAAAGTAAATGACAACTGAAAATTTTATTTAATGGATGAAATATCCCTTTAATAATACACACACACACACACACACACACACACACACACACACACACACACAGCTGCACTATAAATCAGCAAAACAGCTGTTAGGACTCAAAACGTAAGGACACCAAACTGGGACAGAAGAGTGAAAAGAAGACAAGGAGTGTAGAACTCAAGGGAACATGGCAGAAACACTTTAGTTTGCATCAAATTTGAAGTCAAATTACATCTTCGTACACACACACACACACACACACGCACACACACACACACACACACAGCTGCACTATAAATCAGCAAAACAGCTGTTAGGACTCAAAACGTAAGGACACCAAACTGGGACAGAAGAGCGAAAAGAAGACAAGGAGTGTAGAACTCAAGGGAACATGGCAGAAACACTTTAGTTTGCATCAAATTTGAAGTCAAATTACATCTTCGTAAGCAAAAAATATCTCGACTTCAACAAAAGCTTTTAGCAGCTTGTCAAGATGTAATTTAAGACCAACCCACTATCCCTTAAACTAAAGTGTTGAAGAGCACAGCTTGTGGTAACACTTCTTTTTGAAAGGCACTACATACTAACTTCATAGCATTGTAATATGTAACATCTATATTTACAGACAAAATAAGCATATACTGTACATTAATAGCACTAATATACAGTGACTGAAAATATATCAGTTTTGGATTGAACTACGGTTATGCTGCGTAAATTAGTTGACGCAGTGCCTTTCAGCTAAAGTGCTACAATAATCAGGCCTGTTGATCAGAAGAGGGCGGTTAAGGAGGGCCACCATGCAGGCACCATCACCCAGAAAGGGCTGCCGCCACGGGCATGTGTGTGGCAGCTGGGGGTGCAGGCAGGGAAGCAGCGGCAGCATCTGTCACACATACACACCCTCAGGGTTCAGGCTGGACACCAGGGGGTGCTGCAGGTTGCGCGGGTGACCCAGGAACTGCTTGGCAGTGGGACGTGGGGGCGAATCTGTGGGAAATATGGAGTAAAATATACAACATAAGTCCATATAAACACAAAAATGTCTACTAGGTATTAACCACTATATGACCGTAATATTTGTTCAGTGTACAACCAGAAATCACTACAAGGAATGTTGTAACCCACAATGCAATGCACTTTCCATTTCCAGTGTAAGAAATGAGCTGAGATGTTTAGCATCTCTTTCTTTACATAAGACATATTCACACTAAAGTGAAATTTCAGCATAAATTCAAGAAGACTGGATGCTATGCTCTGAATAATTATGCCAAAAAAAAAAGATGAGGTCATGTGATAAAGTGAAAAAATTAAGCATTGTATACTGCATACTGAAAGTATATACTGTATACTCACTACTATTAAAAAAATAGCATGTGAAACAGTATGCATTATTCAAGTATAAACATTTGAAACTGTATTAATCTACAATGTCACTTTACCTCTTAACGTCAAATGTTTCCTTTGAATTTAGCAAACATCATCCAGTTATCAGGTGATTATCTTTCATTTTTAGTGCAATTTTGTTTTAAAAATCTTCAAATGTGCAGGTCATACTGTAGCATACTACTATAAATAGTAATGGTACCATGCTGTTTTAAAGTCAACCATTTAAAACCTCAGATCATATGTTTGCAGTTCAGTTGTTACATCAAAAATGTTGAGCACATTGCATTGTGGGATATAGTACTGTATACCACCGAGTGTATTCGGTATACTGCACATTATAGCAAATGTAGTAAAACTACAATTAGTTGGCAGTACACGGTATATAATGTGTAGTGTACAGTAAACAGTATGCTAGCATTACATTATTAATTGATTTTCTCAGTTCAGTTAGGTATATGTACCTGCAGTAGATTGTGTGTGTGTGTGGAGGCCATACCACTGTCTTTGTGTTTGTTCTGCTGTTGTTGAGTCAGGTCCAGTTGTTCTGGGTGTTCACTGAGGTCTGTGCAGGGCTGAGTATGAGTAGGCAGGGCTCCAGCCTGCTGGATAAACTGTTGTAAATTACACTGTCTCAGCTCCTTATTCAACTCCTCCACTTCCTCCTGCTTAGCCTACACTCAGAGAGAACAGACAATCACAAACAGCCTGCTTACTAGAATAAAAACAGTTT